ATGTTGGCCCTGCTTGCCCCCTTAGATTTTCAGGGCTTTCTGTGTGCTGTTGCAGACTTTTGGGCACACTGTACCTCTGTTGTGTCTTTCAAGGCTTGGGGATGTAGTTATGTCCCAGTCTTATGACAGTCTAGAATCCTCATTCTCATGGCATCGGTACCAGATGTTGGCTTTTTCCCTTCATCTGAGGTTTTTGTCAATTTCTTGGACATAATAAGTCCTAAGACCTTTCGGATGAGGACGTCCAACGGGCCACTACAAAATTCGCACACCCACGGAGATGATGGCTTGCTGCATCTCCCACAGGCTGACGGAGGTAAGCTAGTGCAGACTTTACGAAACCATAGGTTGCAGTTATCACACTGCATCCCATCATCCACTGGAAAGTGACAGTCCGGTCATCCACAGCTATTAGACCGACTCATGTCAGTATAAGATGTTTAAATTACACAGACAAATATATATATATGATCATCACAGGGGACTTGTTTCCCTTCTTGTAAACTGGGGTAATCCATGACTTACTCCAGTCCAACAGCTATTTATGATTTCCAGACAAGAGTTTGTCACCACCATCCTAAAACACCTCAGTCATCGGACTTTCAGGTTCCACTACTTTTCCTCCCTTTAGATCAGAAACAGCCTCAGTTACGGTTGAAGGGCTTATGTCTACATCCCATTCAGGTAGGTGGTGTAAGCTGGGCAGAAATAGCGTAACTGTAGGCCTGTTGAATTTCTTCCTAAAGTATTAACTCCAATGTTCCAGTCTTCTATCCTGAGATAATTAAAGTGCCATTCTTTTTTTAAATCGTCTCACTCATCAATGAAGAGTTTGAGATGTTGGCTGTCTGTAATGTACCTTAAGCACATCTAACGACTGACAAAAGTTTTGGTGGAGTTAATCTTAGAAATGCAATGGGGTGGACCATATATTAAGACCCTTCCTTGGTGAATCATATCTTACCTACAGATAAAATAGAGGTTATGTTTGAACGATTTTATAAAAATGAGTTCGAAGAAGAGGTTGACAATGTATTCATGTCCATCAAATGTAGTAAAGCTTTCAGTATCACGTTTAAAACCATATAATTAGTTGATAAACATTATCAGATAGTAATTTCATGACTTCGTGAACAAGGGTCAACTAATAACAGAAAAATGGCAATGATTCGGTTGAGTTTGTTGGCAAAACGCATCACTCAAGACTTAGCTTTGCACAAAGGCTAAATTAAAGTAGGGTCACATTATATTCAAAAAGGTTTTGCTGAAATAATAATGAGAACTATGTTAGTGGACAAGCTTGGTATTCGCCACACCTCCTCCGAATGAGCCTAGTAGAATAAGGGTTGTGTTCGACTGAGCGGCACTGTACTCAGCGACATTTGTAGTTCACCTTCCATTGTGTGAAGTTCTGCTCGAACACTATTTTTCCCTTCTCTCCTTGTGCTGTCATCACGCACATTCTCTGAGTCTTCAGTTCGGCCATGTTAGCTAGACAAGTTCTAAAATCTCCTCCCTGTATAACCTTAACTTTTTATTCTTTTTAAATATACTGCTCATCAGAGCACAATACTAATCAATTGTCTATTTGATTTGCGTCTTGCCGTCAGTGCTTATGAGTTAGTTGGAGCGCTGATTTTTTGGGTAATTAGGCAAACTACGTCTAGTGAGGGCTGGTATAGTGTAGCTAACCAATAGCACTATCAGCGCCTTACACGGCACTGAACACAAATTTCTATTCTGCTCCCGATTTGGTGGACGTCTTTATGTTATTTCAGCAGAGATCAATAGGCATCATCCCAGATATAGAAATCACGTCTCATCAAGTAGTTCTCCCTACACATGATAGGAATGCTCTTAGATTCTTATGTTAGTCGGAGAGTGACGTGGAAACAAAACCAGTAGATTACAGAATGAAAGTATATGGACGACAATAGGCTTATTTATAACAACTAAAGCAGATTCTGATACTAAGGGAATTTGTTTTGACTATGAGGAGTAGCAACAACCCGAAATTAATCAAGTTCACCCTAGAAGAAAACAGTATAGAAAGGAATGTCGACGTCCTTCTGTCTAAAAAGAGAGAGGACATTAGGTATGTCATGGAATGTACTGACTGATAGTATTCGATTCCTAACACAAAGCTAACAAGGGGAACTCTGCTGTTGTATGTAGCTTCGGTATTCGACACAGTTAAGGTTATAGAACTAATATTGTCGCTTCCTAATTAAATCCTACAGTATATCTTGAAGATGTTTCTCACCTACTTAAGTTTGCTTTGCTATTAGCTGAGTCCTCGAGGAGCAATGTCATTTAATATATGACTAGGTTGAGAAAGAGTCAGTGATGGTCAAATCGAAAACTAGCATCAATCCATGAAGGCTTTGATTGTTAATTTGAGCCAGCCAAGTAGGGAGGTGTAGACTGCCCGGTTAATGTCTTCGGGATGTCAAGATCCAATGACTTGGGATGTCGATGATATGGCTCAAAGCCGTCCTCACCGGCGCCGATTCATCCATTCTGTATGAACTCGCAGATCCATTAATTTCTCATGTTATTCCGTGTTACTATCCCTTCTCCTTAACTTTTCTGCTCATTACAGATCTTTTCAATCTCTTTTTTTATTTTCGACACCTTAGTGTGCGACATATGCTGAAACCGACAAGAAAAGTTCTGGAGGATGCTGCCCCTTTGAACTATCCATCTCGGTTGTTGGCTGACCGAGAATTTCAGTTCGAGACACCCATTTTCCGAAAGCCACCCACTGTGGACACAAATGTAAGGTATATTACAGTTAACTTGAAAATTTCATTTCAGCTTGTCGTCTGTCTCTTCAACATCAAATGCCTACATTCCAGTTCCTGTGGACACGTAAGTTTAATTTCATTTCAAATATTACTCTCAGGTGCCCAAGGACTGAGGGGACGGGTGGTTGCAAATCTGGTGTTTGAAAGAGCTAATGGCCTTACGGTCAAGCCTAAACTCCTTCCAGTCACAAAGAGAGTCACATCTCTCTGCGATTGAGGCTAAACTCTCATGAGTCAACGTCGTCGACATCATTGACAAGAATGTCTCCTGTCTCAATTCTGTTCAAGTTTTGAAGTCTTTTGGCAGATGGCAGTTGACAGTATTAATATCAGTAAAAAGTTTGAGCATTGTGGATTAGATCAAATAAAGTATAATTATATTTCAATAGTTAACACACAATGATAAATTGTTATTGGTAACAATAACAAAGCTCAACATTGTGTAAACTATTGAAATACCATTATACTGTTATAGCAACTGAAGTACGGGAAGAAAACTATTTTTGTATTGTCATTACTTTTTTTTTCATTCTACGCCACACAGTTCAAACGACTGAAAATATACTTCGCTTTTGAAGTGAGAGTATTTATTATCATATTTCTTGAATAATATTATAATAATATTATCAGTATGTTATTTGTTCCACTATGAGAAAACTTATTCGTCTTGCATAATATTGATTAAAAGTTTTAGTTACTGCCGTGTATAGAAATTACTCACTAACTCAACCTGAAGAAGGTACGAAATTATTGTGAAGCCACTATTTTACAAAATTCTACATTATAGTCACAGCTTTCACGGGAGGCATATTCTCTGTCACTATTATAGACGTAACAAAGTAAGCTTTCGGGCTTAAATAGACAGTAAGGCAGGAAGAGAAGGCACCATTGAACAGAGCACTGAGTCATAAGTACAACAGTTGATTAGTTTAACTTTTATTGCATAATTAATGATGCATGAAACTAAGATGTTATAAACACAGAAATTTTCAAATGTATTCACAGGTGATTAGAGCGTATATCAGTTTTAAGAATTTATTAAAATAAGGTATATCACATACACACGCACTTCGCCGATGATATATGTCTGATTTCCCACAAACTGGAAGATTTGCAAGTCAAAAGCAACAAGTTGGCAGAAGAAGCATCAAAGATAGGACTTCAGATGAACATAGAGTGAACAGAGGTAGGTGATGAAGATTCCTGGCCAACACCAACAACAATCAGCCAGCATAAATGGAAGGAACCTGAAAGAAACAACCTCCTTTACCTACCCATCTACCTGGGAAGCATCGTTTCAACCACAGGCGGAACTGACGAAGATATCAAAGCCAGAATCGGAAAAGCAAGACAAGCTTTCATTACTCTCAAATCTGTGTGGAGGTCAACATCACTCAGCATCAAAAATAAGATCAGGATTTTGAACTCCAATGTGAAGTCAGTCGGTGTTACTCACTATACGGATCAGAGTCTTGGCCAGGGCGTCATAAAGAGCATCTCAAACAAACTACAGACCTTCATTAACAGTTGTCTTCGCTCAATACTCAAGATCAGATGGCCAGAAAAGATCAGAAATAGGGTGGGATCTCTGGGAGCGAACCAACCAGGAACCAACTGTGAAGCAAATAGGTAGGAAGAAATTGAGATGGATTGGTCATATGCTGAGGAAACCTTTAAGTGACATCACTAGACAAGCCATTGCTCGAGTGGAACCCGAAAGGAAGCGGGCGGCGAGTTGGTCGTCAGTGCAAGGGTGACTTGGAGGAGGTCATGCGAGGAGGAGTGAAAGCATGTGGACAGACTGGAAGCAGGGTGAAAAAGTTGGCAGAGAACCAAACGCGATGGGGACGCGCGGCTGAAGCCCTATGTTCCTCTAGGAATTAAAGGAAATAATAATAATACACACATACGCACACAGCCTTTACGAAATGCTGACCTACTATCCTGCATCAACAATCACTTGCATTTCCACTCCGTTAGCGATCAGCTACACCTATTTGTGGCACTACTTTGACCGCCCACACTTCATTAAGTGTTCATTATAGTTCCAATTCATGATCCAAAGGTTGAAAGTCGGGCGTCTAGACTAAGGAGCCACAGTTCTACATGTCCATATGCAGAAATAACCGAATAGCAATAAAAGCAATATAAATATAAATATTTAAACAAAAAACTAAAGTATTGAAGAAAAATCCACCGTGAAAATTAATTTATTCAATTATAAAAAAGCTTATCCTATTTAGATAAGACAAACAGTCATGAACAAACAATTTGTCAAAAACATCTTTATACTATATATATGAGTAACCAGTGTGCTGATAGAAATTTATGGCGAAATGACCAAGAAACATTAGTGACCACCATATGAAATATGTTACATAACCAGGAGAAACAGATAAGCTGTTGGTGGGTCGACATAGTGTGTAAATAAATCTTTTACAAAAACAAAAACTGACTGAATGAAGAGCAATTAATAAATATAATTAATTTACAACACGAGATGAATCCTAAATGTGAAGTATAATTTCTTAAATTGCGCAATATATGAAAGATTGATTGATAGATACACAGGTCATTTACAAAAAAAAAAACAACGCAATAACAAGTGAAACGTTGTATCACACCAGTTTGTTGATAGTACCAAAGTGTTAAAATAAAAATGTACTATTTGATCTGGTGTTCGATGTATTCAATTGTCCAGAACTCGATGCTGTTGGTGTTGCTGCTGTTGTTGTTGATGCTGATGATGACGACGACGATGGTGTTGGTGTTGTAACACTAGCTGCAGTAGAGATACCTGTTGTACAGGTTAGATTTCTCATCATTATTTGAGAAAGATCATTACTACTGCTAGTAGCATTATCATTATTACTATTATTAATATTTGTGTTATGAGAACATAGACCGGTTGTAGAAATAGGTAAACCTGGTGGAAATATGGAGTCAGTTAGTGAAAAACTCAACGAAGCGTCATTTATACTACTGTTGTTGCTACTTGTTACACTGGTGCTGACAACAGATCCTGAAAGGCAACAATTACTGACGGAATTATTATTATTATTATTATTAATATTGTTGTTAGTGTTATTAGCACTAGTAAATGATGTGCTATTGAAATTACAATATGAATCAGCTAGTCGTACTACACCAACTCCACTGCCTAATCGTCTATAATTCATACTGCCGCATAGAGACCAACTATTTGCATCTGGATCGTATAGTTCAACAGATTTCAAATAGGTAGCACCATCGAATCCACCAATAGCAATCAGCTGATTGTTCACTACAGCTAATCCAACCTGGGTGGTTTTTGCAGAAAAAAAAAGAGATTCAGTTATATCAGTATAGAATATTATGCAATGTGTAACAAAAAATCGAAAAAATATTTATTCTAGTTGAACGAAGTCTTTTCATCAAAAACACATTCAATTGTATTCCTGGTCATAATTCATTTAGGCACTCAGCTGTCAACTATTCGGTCCAGGATTCAAATCACACCCCACCTACATCAACAATGTCAACTAGGTAATGGTATCACCATCTGTCACACGATACGCGTGACCCAAGATCGTGTACACGGGATATCTGAAGGTCAACTAACTACAATGATTACAAATAAATACAAAAACTCCAATTTCTACAACCATTTTCAGAGCTGGCAAATAGTGAACAACATGGGAGCCACTAGGTTGACATTCTTAGTACACAACCAACTCAACAAACCTGGTGTCCCAAAATGACAACATTTATTGAAAGACGATTCCAACTGTGTACAAACACACCCCGCCGAACTTTGAAGTTACTTAAATGCTGATGCCACCAGATGCAAGTACTTCTACGGAGGAAAAGGTTATTGAATACATACAGTCGACGGATATCGGAGAAGTCATGTTTCAAAGGCACAGATGAAGAGTGTGTGCACCAATGCAATGTAAACCCGAGCTCTGACGGCAGGCCAACGTCGCAACAGTGTTACAGGTAACTCAGACTGGCGTATGCCACATTGACTTTCACTAAACAATCTATGTGATAACCATAAACACTTTAAAAGCTTAGTATATATATATGTATATATATATATATATATATATATATATATATATATATATCATTCTATGGAAATTGCCGTAAATAACCCAAATACATTCCTATTCTAGAGGAAATGAGAGCTATGACATACTAGTGAAATTCATGATGAACGTTTTGTGTTACTTACGTCAGATATTCAATGAACGTGATAAGGACCTCATACATGGCATAGCTGCTGGAAGTGGACAACAGTAAAACGGCTAGTATTCAATATCTAGTATTTTCATATTTATTAATAGCTTTACTTTTTAAACCGTTAACTCCTTACTTCTTTTCCCACTCCCCAAAGTAATTAAAAGGTAGAAAATATAAGAGAAAAAAATACCTATCTAGTCAGCTAGAGTGACGATAAACGGACAGTAACGTGTCACTGATTTAATCACATGAGAGTTGGGTATTACTTGTGGTGATTGTAGTGGAATAACGATCTGGCTTGCATTTGCATCTGGTGGCTCATGTTGTACAGCGGTGGACTAGTGACCTGGTGGCCACTGATTTGTAGCTTGAGGCGATTCAGATATTCATTTTTTTTCTTCAGTCACTACTGATTACATACATGTGAGTTTGAACATTCGAGGCCACTCTAGACGGCCTTATTAACAATGAAATGAGCATAAGTTTCTCTAAGTGAATATTTTTGTTCCTAATATATACGTCTGTGTCCTGCAATAGACATCCAAACATGGTGGAAGCTGAAAGCTACTAACCTCAAGTTTGGGGGATTTTAGTGGTCACTATTATAATATTATTATTATTCCCTTGGGTTCCGGGTGGAACATATGGCTTCAACAGCATATCTTCATTCCACCGACTTCTCTGAAGTACTCCTTAAGTGGATCCACAATCGCCCATAAGCTCTTATGTCCCTGTCATACGATTTCCTCTGTATTACAGTTCGAATCACACTCAACGACCTGACACGCGCCGTCATTCAACAGCCTCCTCAACGTATGTTCAGTCCACCTCCATTTCCTCCCACATATTTGTTGAGCAATAGGTTCTTGCCTGTTGGTTTGTTCCCAGACTTTCTCATTGCGAATTCTACCCAGCTATTTGATCTTCAGTATTGAGAGAGAAAGCAAGTGTTGATAAAAGTCTGCAAACTGTTCGAAATGTTTCCTGTGATGCGCCAAGTTTCTGACTTATGCAGAAGAACTGACTAACTTAACACTGACACTGAAAGTCCGGATTTTGTTGCTTATGCTGAGGTGGAGTGGAGAAGATTTTCAAACTGATTTCAGAGTGATGAAATTATGTCTTGCCTTTCCAAATCTGCTTTTGACATCCTTATCCATGCAGCGTGCCTCCCGCAGTTGTAACGATGCTTCCTAGATAAGTGAAGGAAGGAAGTGACCTCTTTCAAATTCCCCCCCCCCTTGATAGTGATTAGTGCTTGTTGACAGTCGGTTGTCTTCATCACCTTCGTTTTTTCCATGATCACTTGAAGTCTTGTTTTTCACTCCTTTTTCTGCTAAGTTGTTGGTTTTCGTTTGTAATTCGGGTTTATTTGACATCATCCACGAAATCCAGATCTACAGACTTCTTATCAGTCCGCATAAGCCAGTCCATCACAATTAGGAATATCGTTGGTGATAGTAGGCAGCCTTGATGAATACTGGACAAGGTGTATTTGAATTTCTTAAATATATTTGCAGTGTCCTTCTGGGATTCGAACCTGTGTCATTTACTATTGGGATTACAGACTATTTTGCACTTAAAGGAGCAATTGTTGAAACTAATGAAGGAAATAAACATCATAAATGAAATTTAAACCTAATTACTAACATTGTACATACTATCTGAAGATAAGAAAAAAATATTTACACACATAAAGCAAATGTGATTACTTTATTTTACTGTATTGGTTACACATCACGTCTAAAGTTTTTACTGACGCTAGTTTTGAAATAATAACTAAACATTTGAAATTATTTCCACTTTGTAAGATCTACCTACGCCCACCAGCATAATCTAATATATAAACAGCTAAGTCACATACACAGTAAATATTTGTTTTGTGAAACTAGTACTGTATCTGATACTGAGTGATGTAAGTTTGAATTTCAAATCAAAACATAATTAGACGATGAGCAGCAATAAGAACGAAACCCAAGCTGGATAGAACTTGGTGTTGGCTGAGTGCTTTTAATATGCAGTGGTAAATATCAGTGCAGTATTATGAAGAGAGGTGAAACTACAGCTTAGTTTGATGGTTACATTGTACACATGGTCAGTGGAATTTGAAGAACAATATTAACGACTAACCATATATATATATATATATATATAGGTCGACACTCAACAAATTAATTGGTCACTACTACGCATTTTATGATACATGAGGAGATGAACCTCCGCACTGGATAGCCTACTAATTGCAGCATTTGATGGTGTAGTCCGAAACCCTCAGAGGAAATTAATCTGCTCGAAGTTTGACATACACCTCACTAAAGAGTGTTAGTAAGTAAGAGACCTAGGTCGAGGGCTTCTTGTTGGTAGCCTCCAATACTTTAAGATGAAAAACTGCTCAACAAGAAAACATACCTAAAAGATTATTTAACTATTGTGGAAAAAAACAAAAAAATCCTTATGAAAGATAACTCACTCCGCTACGTCTTGATGTCATGGCTACAACTGGCGTCCATGTACGAGTACGCAAATCTAAGCATTCAACAGATGATAATTCTGTTGCTTCATCTCTCCCACCTACAGCATATATTAGACCATTATATACGGCAACTCCCAAGTGTTTACGCTTAGTACCCATTGAAGATATCTGATGCCATACTCCAACACGAGGATCTAAATGCTCCACTGACGATAAAGGCTGTTGACCATCTGAACCACCGACGGCATACAACTGACCATTAAGAACTGCAACACCAACACCGAGACGACGACAAGTCATGTTACATACCTGATTGGAAATACACATTAAATTTACATCTTGTTAAAACATTAAATATCCATGAAGTTTTCTCCTTAATCATAACTCAAAGATACAAAGAAACTTTAATATTTTCAGTAAATTAAATATTCTCATAATTTATTCAGAACAAAATATTTAGAGCGAACAATTGTTTTCAATAAATTCTTCTTCAGGCTATACAATTATAAATCCATTAATGTAAGCATACAATAGCCAGTAAAGGCTATTATGCATTCCTTTTACTTTCTTCTTTGCTTTGTGTGCTACATGGAGTGTGGCGACTTGAACTACTGCACATCGGTGTAAAGTTCTATGTTTCAAAACAGATGGACAAACACAAGGACTTGTCATACATATTCATAAAAAAAAGTACCAGGGAATAAAAGGTCGAAACTGAAGCAACATAGATCGAAATGTCTATGGGTCGAAATTGCAATTACGGGGGGATGCGAAAGGAAATGAAAATATTATTGCACAAACAGGTTTGGGCCTCTTTGTGTTCAGAATTTCTTTATTACTTTAAACCTACCTACCAAGGTCTATTATTAAGTAGTGGTATTTTCATCCCCTTTTGTTTTACCTTTCTCTTATCTGTTGTTTTGACCCATAAGCCTTTTGACTTACATTGTTTCAATTTTGAGTATTTATGCTCCAGTATCTTTAGTAATAATAATAATGGCTTTATTTCAAACAGGTAGGTTTGATACAGTGTGGGACTTTCGGCAAGTATACAATATCGCATCTAATCTCCCCTTTACACAATACAGAGGTAATAATTACACAAGGCATTTACATTGACAATATTATCAAATAAGAAGATTAATAAAATTAAAATTTAAGTGAAAATGTTAATAACAATACAATAATAAAGGAAATAAAAAGGACGTCCGTTTATATAGTGTTTCACAGAAAGTGTCATGTCTTCTACTTTTCTCACCACATAAAGTGTGCTGAATAAGGTTGTCCGAGCATACAGTCTTCTAGAGTTGCTTCTAGTTCTACCTGGTGAAATGCAAACAGAGAGTTGTTTGTACAGAGGATGCCCAAAGTAGGACAAGATGATATTCGCTAATGTCTTGCACAATCTCGCCAAGTTAACTGGCTTGACAGTTTTCCAGCCGGTCTCAATCCCAGGGAAAAGGGGGAGGGTTGGTGTAGGGCTAGCAAACACACACCACTAAATCTTTCAAACCCCTAGAGAAACTCCAACACACACAGAAAGTATATCAAAAATACAAAAACCTCAAATAACAATCTTATTCTTCCATCGATTCGAAAAGTAAACATATAAGTGACATTGAAAACTGAATTACCTTTAGCCATTTATTCACATTTGGATCGTAACACTCGACAAAATTCAAACAAGAGACACCATCTTGTCCACCGACAGCATACATTAAACCATTAACTACAGCTACACCAACACTAGTACGACATGTACTAGTTGAAGCTATGTCGGATGACCATTGATTTGTGTAAGGATCATATCTGTAAGTAAGTGGGTTTTTTTGAAGAAAAAAAATTCATATACTAATAAGTAGTCCGATGAAAACTATTTAATTGTATACATCAACTGTAAAAGCCTTATGTATTATACCTAGATATTTGCATTCTTTTTTTATTTATTTTTAACTTAGCCTTCTTTACGCCTTATAGCAGTCATTCTTAGAAATTTAGTACGGGTTCATTATTGTTGTTGGACTCAGTTATCCAGAAGAGATTTTTTATAGTCTAGGCTATAAGTCGCACATTATGTAAGGCTTGGTGATACTAACCAGTAGCCCAAGTTGAAGTACATGGAGCGGGAATCTATACAGGGGCCTACCGGCTATAAGCCAAGCGGCCAAATCAGCAGGCCGAGATTAAATGACAAAATATATATATATTCGGTCCTTAATATCTTAAACATTTTAAACATCGACTGACTTGGAAACGTACAACTTTGCAAAAAAGCGAATCGGTTGCAGTTGCTACAGTTAGGAAAAGTGTACACGGCTTGTTTGGAGGTGCGGAAGACCCTACGGGCTGCGAATGACCACCTTATGGTAAGTCAAGATGACGAACTTTGCGGCCCGACCTTTTCTAACCCATTCTACCTATAGTGTAGTGAATTAACGCGACTAGCTTGCTGAGCATCTTACTGTTGTCTTAGTTCTATTGACGACCAGCAATGAGACTTCTCCTTCAACCATATCCTAATATAACATGAGCAACTGAGACTATGATTAGATTAACTGCTATTCGGCCTACCTTTCAGGCATGGTAGCATGTGTGGGAATATTCTCTTCAAATACTATGGCTCTTTAGGTTACTACGACACGAAAGGCTAGTCACCACGTAAAGATAGCAACTCTCTCTTATTTTTCTTTAATACATCTTTGCACTTCTTCAATACATCACAACCCGGATGGTTAGAACACTTTAATTAGCAGGTATTATTATAATTTGTAGCTTAGATAGCTATCCCATTTTATTTAAATTAAATTATATAACAGCGTATTTCCTCGTACTCGGTACTTGTTAACTGAAGCTGTGTGCCACTCAGATCTCATTGTTAGCCGTCATATATCAAATAAAACTAAGTGCATGAAGAGGCCACCAACATTCAAAGAACCGAATTCATCATTTGAGTCCAGTGAAGAAGAAGAAAAAGAAACATCGAGAAATTTAAAAGTTCCAAAAAATAATACTCTGATAATTTAATACATTTGAATATATTTACATTCACAGTGATGAATAGAATATGGAGTTTGCTTAAAAATAAAGAAACTCATAATGATATGCATTTTTACCTTTCAACTGAATTCAAATAACTATGTCCATCATGTCCACCAACAGCATAGAGTAAATCATACACAACTCCAACACCGACACCACAACGTCTTTTATGCATTGGTGCTACAAGATGCCATTTATGCGTACGTGAATCATAACGTTCAGCAGAAGCTATTGCATCACCTGAACACCAACCACCAATAGCAAATAATAATTCACCAATTTGTAATACTTTTCTTGGTTTAGTACGTGGACCTTGCATATATGGACGTTCATGAGGTAACAGTAAATAATCTTTTGCTTCATCCACTAAATCACGACATCGTTCATCAGAACGTACTAATAAATCTGAACTAACAGTACCAACTAAAAATTTAGGACTAAGCAGAGGCAATCGTACATGTTCTAATACATAAGATAAATATGGTCGACGTTCAGATAGATTATGATGCACCCAACACATTACAGCATAATAAACTTGTTCTTCTGAATAAACATTTAAATCATCTGAACTTATAATATCAACAAGATGACTAACTGGAAGAAGTAGAAATTCTTCAGATTTTACAACTTCCTAGAATAAAATGAATGAAAAGAGGGAAAGAAAAAAAAACAGCCTATAGATTGAATACACTCCCTTTTTTTTCTTTCTTATTCCATACTACGATATTAAACATAAACATACTTTCTATTGTCTGATTAGGTATAAATGAAAATGTAAAAAAATGAATGGTTAGAGAACTATAGTCACAAGAATAGAACTCTGCCTAAATAAGTTGAACTCACAGTTTGCATACTAATTAGCTATTTGCAGTGTACACAGTTCGAATGGTGAAATTTCATCACAGTCTTCTTCGGAATCTGAATTTTTTTTCAGATCAAACACACAGTATGCGATCTGCTTGATACTACCACCATAAATGGTAATCAAGAAAGCAAGGGAATTTGCATAAAACTATGTACTACTGATTAGGATGACTAGTTGCATATCCAATCATATCAACCAGCAGTGCTTGCTAGTCAGATCCAGCTGGTCTGAAAGATGGGAGAACCTTTTACTCGTTTGGGACCGAGTTCATCAGTGGTGTATTTGGTTCGATTCAGCTCAGAGGGTCGAATCAGTTTAAGCTAGTCGATTTCCGGCTAGTTGCTTGGTTGAACTGGTCATGTCATATAAATGAAATTTACAATTTGTAATTTGCACAATTTGAGCGGTGAAATTATTTTGAAAACTAACTTGTTCCGATTGCAATAGGTGATCCACTTGATACGATGAATGGTAATCAAGAAGGCAGACATATGTGTATGAAAGTATGTACTACTGATTGACTAAACTCTATAACAATGGTGTAGATACTTTCATTTCTTTCTCATCTTGACAAGTGAGAACACTTTCGATAACCATTAACTATGTATCTCTTTTCATAATTTTAAAGTAGACTTCCCCCAAAACTGACATCACAGAGAAACAGGAGGACTAGACAACTGTCTCGTTCTCGTTTGGGACACTTCATCCATCAATCGAGCCTAAAGTCTTCATACTACGAGATGAACATGTTATCACACACTCAGTAGGTCGACATTGAATGCCGCATGAATTTTAACTTTTCATAGTCAATTGTGTTGATTTTCAATATCATTGCTGCCGTGGAGTGACCGAATTTCGGCCAATAGGTGCTGGAATTGAGTCCTACATGGTCTACTTCAACTTATGCAACTGAGTAGTATCTTCAGCCTTTGCTACGTTGGTTCACTTTTATATATATATATATATATATATATATATATATATATAGTTTTATTTAAAACTTTTTAACACCAGCAATGTAAATCACCACTGAAACATTTTCTGTGTATCGTCTATGCAAAAATAGAAGAAACTTACAAGAAAGTGTAAATGTGCGAATCGATCAGCTACACGTAGTAATCCACTACATGCATGTGTATCAGCAAATGCTCGGATGCCTAGGCAATTAGAAGGATCTAACTGGCGTTTTAAAAATTCACAACACACATCCTGAATCTCTGTCAGTTGTAGCAGACAGGCAGCTGGGAGTAAATTTTGAACATTACATTCTTCTACTGTAATTTGACTAGTATAGCAAAAGTCAATCAGAGTTTCAACAGCATCGCCATCTAGGTCGTAAAGAGTAACCTAAATAGCGTTACAAAAATTGTAGGGATTTGTATTTAGTAAAAGACAATAAGTGTTATAAATCTAAAATATTGTAATAATAAAGCATAAAGTAACACAAATTAAACTTCTCAGCTAGCTGACCGGCCGTCTAAGATCTGTCAAATGTGAATGTATGTATGAGATAACTGTAGGATTACAAGTAACGGAGAAAGTATAACTGCAGACTTTGCAGAATATCTTGGTTGCATTGAGAGAACTTATTTGTCTGATTTCTTGAAGATTGATCTCCAATCCTGATATTTCCTAATCTACTTAAAATAATAAAATTAGATGGTCCTGATTAGAGACTAGTATGATATAGAATCGAATAAATACCTTGATGTTTTAGTGAAAACTAAACATCCAGGATTTTCTAACAAGGAAGTTGATTGCTAAATGGATAAGGACAATTTGAGTAGATGGTATTATCATCTGACAACATAATACTACCTAAATAAACAAGATATAAGAGTCTTTAATCTGGGAGTAAATCCATACCTGTATCCCTCCACACTTATCGTGAAAATGTTATTGACGGCAAAGTCAAATCTGACAACTCTGCTAAACAAAGTTCCAAAGCCGATATCAAGCAAGTCAATCAGATACATCGAAGGATTAGGTAATGTGCGTTTTATGGGTGACTTACTCATATTAATTGTTTAGAATCAGTTGATAGAGAGAAATAGACCTACGACCCATGCACATCGAAAAAATGAATCAGTAATAACATTTTATTCTGGAGCTTGATCAAGAGGTAGCCTAAGTCGAGTGTAATTAAATCACTGAACCACCAGTTAAACAAAATATAAATCTACCCAGTAAGGAATACAGTGTAGGTACTACGCTAATGAAACTAAAACAATTTATATAGGAAATGATCAAATGGACGGCTGCCACCTTGACGTAGTGGTAACGTTTGCATGATTCAATCGTCTACAGTGGCTGGAACGAATATTCCTGTGCGTCGGTGGCACAGTGGTTAGGACTCTCGCCGACCATGCACATGGTCCGGGGTTCGAGCCCACGCCGACGCACACTTGATATCTATGGTCGGCCTGCGAATTTCGGGCTACCGATATCCACGCTGAAAATTCCACACTTGTACCAAAAATACGGTGTGGAGTCAAGCTGTAATCAAAAATAAAATAAAATAAATAAAAAATATATACAAGTCAAATTAACCAAACAGCCTTTGAAGTAATCACGATAGCGTAGATAACCTTATAATAAGTCATGAGGTAATATTTCACACTAGTGAAAAGTTCCGAGATTATAAATTATCACACCACAAATTTAACTATTTTAGAACCCTGAATTCATTACTACTTGACTGATTGGAGTTCTAAATGATCATTTTATTCCAATTAAAAAGCTGTATTAGTGTACCCAAATGACAGCAAAAGTTACTCAACAACTTGATGGGTGTTAATGAGCTTACTAATGAGCTACATATCACCTAGCTGCTTAAGCTCTCGTAATGGGCAGAGACAAATTAACAGACAACTGAGTGCCTAATCTGATAAGCCACAGTGCCATGAGTGTGTTTGCAACTCAAACTCTGTACACATCACCCTTAGTTATGCACCTTTCACCAATAGTATGTCAATTTCACAAACAGTATTGATCACTAGTAAACTTAGAATATGCAGACGATATAGTCCTCCTAGGCGACGACTCTGACAAAATGCATAGTCTTCTAAACACCTTGAGCCTCAATCTACGAATGTTTGGCATGCGATTCGCTCCCGCCAAATGCAAGATGATGTTACAGGACTGGACTACATCGACGCCTAGTTTAAAAATAGGAAGTGAAGTGGTAGAGCATGTTGACCGCTTCACTTATTTGGGAAGTACCATCAGCCCCAACGGGTTGATCTCTGAAGAAATCTCAGCACAAATACAGGGGGCTCGTTTCGCATTCGCCAGTTTTTACGCCGACTCCGGCGTAGACGAGATGTTCGACTGTCGATCAAAGGGAGGGTGTACTGCTCATCAGTCCGCTCCGTCCTCCTTTATGGTTGTGAGACCTGGCCACTGAGAGTGGAAGACATGAAGAGACTAGCTGTCTTTGATCATAGGTGCCTGCACTCTATTTCCCGTGTAAAGTGGCATAATAAGGTGAGCAATATTGAGGTTAGGCGTCAAGTTCTAGGTAAACAGGGGAAATCAATCGACGAAGTCGTGAAGTTACAAAGACTGAGATGGTTAGGACATGTATTACGTATGTCTGATCATCGCCTTCCCCGACGAGCAATGTTAGCGGATGTAGGGTCAGGCTGGAAAAAAGCTAGCGGCGGTCAAACAAAAACTTGGCACCAGTCAATGAAATCCACAACAGTTGGTCTAAGCCACGTAGGAAGGTGTAGACTCCCAGGCTGGGGTCCTCGGGACGGTAAAAATCTATGGTTGGAAACAATTGGTGACATGGCTCAAAATCGTTCTCAGTGGTGCAGATGCATCCACTCCCTGTGACTTATGATTTCCAATGAAACTGTTTTGTTCTTCGTTATTACTCCTCTGCTCACTGTCTCTATCATACTTTTCTTGTACTTTCTTCTCTTGCTTCGCGTGCTACACGGTGTGGCGACTTGAACTTCCGCACATTGGTGCAAAGTTCTATGTCGAAAACAGACAGACAGACTAGTAAACCTTGATATTCTTTGTTGTTAATTCATCACACCAACCTTTATAACCGTTATTGTTTAAGAGATTTGCTGAGATACTGCAATATTGCTGCTAAGTTTATTTCAATAGATAATGCTGAGGTATTTTAGTGACTTTCATGTATGAATATTAGTCATGTTTCAGCTACAAAAACAAAAAAATGATAAATCAAATTAGCACCCTTAGGTTCTATACAGCTTTTATCTCATGTCACATGATTCTTACAATCGCTTAGAAACGAACAGTTAAATTCTGTGGAAAAAGATTACATCAAAAGTTAATAAAGTATCATTACCTTAGTCTGTCTAGATTCAGCTAATTCCCCGGTAAACATAGCTCTAAAATAAGCCGAACAAGCTGCTAGTACAACACGATGTGTGTAAATTTCCCTTCCATCGACTAACAGTATTACATCGCATAATTCTTTATTTTTACGAAAATGGTTCATCGCTTCAAACGAACTGATAGGATGACGTTCTGCAGTATACGCCAAGCGATCATTAGATTGTTGAACTGAGCCAGATTTCCCATTAGAAACAGATGAGGTTACATGTGTGTTATGAACGCTAGTTATCAACCCGTCTCCAAAGGAACAGCAACGCGGCACAGAGAAATTATGTTCAAAGACATTGATACGTTCATGCATGGAACTAAGCATTCTGTTACTACCGTCACAAGTATCATTACGGATAGTATCTGATACAGATATGGTTGAATCTATATTCGATGATCGAGAGCTACTAGAATCCCCTGTAGAAACATTTGTACTATCAGGAGCATCTGTACTCAAGCGTTGTCCATGACAAGCAGAGGAACCATTTCGATTGTTAGGATGAAGGTCAACATCCATTGGCGGCATTACTGAGAAGGTAGTTCATGACATATCTGAAGGAAAAAGATAAGCACAACTGTAACTGCAGCGTTTAGACAAAAGTCAGGGAATATTTAAACTAGTGCTATATAAAATCTGACAAACAGTCAGCTGTGCCGTCAAAGAAAATGTGTTTTAAAAAGTAAGAACCTGCTTCTTTTCAAACTGCTTCCAACAGCGTTATTGGTTATTAGCCCATTTAGGCATGAAAACGGAAATCACACCTGGGTTTTTGTGTAGACAAGTGTTTTTAAATAGGTACGTATTTTTCTTTAATAAGTAACTTATTAATTGGAAACAACTAAAATTCAAACAAAAGAACGGTAATGAAAATATCGCAGACTAGTTGTCAGCTATTTTCAAGTCTAACGAATTAACATAGAAGTTTCCATAACTGCGTATTGGTAATACTAGATAGGACAGAGATGTGCAGGAAAAGGAATAATTCGGTGAGTAAATATGAGGAAGAGTGAATATAGTGACACTAATTTGAACTATTATGAGTTACTTTACCAAGTCATGGAAAATTCATTTTCTGTACCTTGAAAACTTCAGCTAAACAACGTACACCTGTTGCGTGACAGTCACCAACTTCATGAATTGGTATTATGCCTTACAGCACTCAACTCTTTCATACCAAATGTACTTCAATCGTCGGATAGAAAAGCTACCCGTACGTATAGCACATATTTCAGTCACCTATGTCAACTTATTTCCCCACTGATTTCGTTACAACTAAAGTAAACACACATTTACAGTCGAAAACTTGTATTACTTTCATTTCTTTGATCTTCATCGGACATACCTTGTAATTGTGAAGTAGAACAGTGAAGTGCTAAGTCATATACACAGCGAGTCGATGGTGATGCCAGTTGTTAAATATTAAGTGAGAATTTGCTATCCATATTTCTTCGGCACCCATTCCTTCAGGTCTGAGGCAACTTCCTAGATAAGTGCAGTGGTCATCACACTCGAATCTTTCACAGCATAGCTTCAAACTAGCGGTCACTGCAGACCAGTCCCGTATTCTGTAAGTGTGAAACACACCAAACGCACATAATCTTTGTGTAGTGCACAGATTGCATTTCGTTACCGTGTTCACCTAGGACGGCCACATTTTAATTTAATTTAAGCAGCTTTCTTCAGTTGCCATTCAAGAAGTGACAATTAAACAAACATACCTACCTCAGTATATCTCTAGTAAAGCAAGAGAATAAGAATGATAATGAATACATTTGACAGCTGAGAACATCGAAGTTAAATCATAGCAGCAGCGCTGATCTACTCTTTCACTGACATTAACCAATTAAACCAAATTAAGAAGCAATTAAAGCCACCAAATAGTTAGAAAGATTGGTGTATGCCAAAGTATTCTAATATTCGTCTATACTTCTGATTGTTCTTTATCCCGAAATCGTCATCCTCCAAAAGACCAGTTATCTTTCACGTCTGTCTGTTTACATAATCTTAGGTAATGTATTAATTGTACAGTAATCAACCGACATTCCTGAAACCTTGCACCCAGGTCTGGAACAGGTACCAAGTGTGAAAGGTTGCTAAAGTGATGTACACGGGTGGCCGTTATGCTTCAACTATCCATTATCTATTATTATTGCATCACTCAGCAGCTGCTAGTTAAATAATCATTTAGAGAGGATTTAAACTACCGTAACTGAAATCACTTTGACCTAGTCAGAATTCGGATGCAAAAAGTAACATAATCGTTAAAAAGGGACTAAAAGACATTTCATACATATCCCACCGGATAATTGTCTATGTTTTAAGAGTGCCTACTAGTTACTCGAAGGATAACCTATAGAGAAATCATGGCATGGGCGACAGATGTATTCATCCAGGTGATTGTACACTGAAGTCCTGATACTGTCCTTTGACCTACTTTTATCGGTAATCCTACAGGAACCTAAACCTACCCAAAAGTATAGGTTTACAGTAAAAATGACCTAGGAATAAGTACAATACTTTATGTACCCTCACCACATTCATAAAGACAGGCATGGTTTGATTTGATCTTCTCAGAGTCTGAATGGTCATTGAAGGTTAGCATTTGATAGGCCTTTACTGAAGTAGTTTAACTTTGCCACCAGAGAAATTGTTATGCGTTTTTTCAACACATACGGGCAAAATAAAGTGTCACGCGGTAAATTGTACGAACCACTTACGGTTAGTGAACCTCTGTAACACAGTTGTCGAATGAAGCGCTCAACCTAATCTAATATCGTCTTTATGAGCTGGTGTAAACCACATTGAAATTTTGTGCTCGCTTCTTGGTTGCAAGACAGAGGTTGCTAGTTTTCAGTGAACTTCTGCTTAGTTTGTACCAACACTCGACTGTCGTAGCTTGGCTGATTCCAAAAAGGAGTCGTTCGGAAATTGATTACATGCGGTTTATGGTTTTGTTAAGACCCTGTCGGTACTGTGAATGCAGTTCACTCTTTCACCCATTATTCATTCTTTGTGGTCAAAAAGAGAGATAATAATGGTAGAAATAATAATAGATGCAATAATTGTAGATTAGGTGGGTTTAACATATGCACATGGTCCGGAGTTCGATCCCCGTCCACCGACGCACTCCTTTAACTCGCTAAATCAGAAATAATGCTGGGAATGAGGCTAGCAACCCCATCCTGTAAAATAAACACTGTCACAGAAACTTCAAGCCACTACCTTGAAGCCCTATGTTCCACTGAGGAACGTGAAGAAAACAACATGTGTAAACAGTTAGTGAAATCTGAAATCAATGTACATATATATACATAAAATATAGGTGGGTGAATGGGTAGAGTGGTTAGAAGAGGAAGACAAGGGAAAATGGGAAGCATTAAAAGGACGAGTATAGGTATGTACCCACTAACAATGTGTGAGTTTTAAAGGGGTAAGTCGTTTGGATTCAGTTGTTGTGTTGCTACATGATCGTCCGGTGTCTGCTTAAAGCTTTGCATGGACAGTGCGGAGACCACATCCTCTGGTAAAGAGTTTCAGTCCCGGCAAACCCGAAGTCAAAACGAGTGGGGACTCTAGTCTTCGCTCTGCGGTACGATATCTCTCGTGGATTGCTACGAGGAACCACATACACACTTGATGGTAGAACACCTTCGTTTGGGTGATTCTGGTCATGTGTAATGTAACAGGTGGCAATTAAGTTACATCTAAGCCAATGGTAGCTAAGTGTGGAAAGGTCTAATATCCTCAGCCATTCATCACATGGTTTATTTCGGAAACCCATCACTTCTTTTATCGCCCGTCTTCGGACTGTTTACAAAAGATTAATGCCAATTTTGAGCAGCAGTAGCAATAATATTGTGGTATTATGCATGTTTTGTACAACCTAAGAAGAAGCTAAAGAGTGGGCAAAGCTGACTGTGTGCATAAGATGCATGACCTCATATGACCTTGCCACATCACACATGTAATCCACGCTTGTGTCCACCTTTTCCGTCAGAACTGGACCTAGGTTGAGCTCTGACTTTACCCAGAGAGTAACTTACATTCAGTAGCCAACAGGTAAGTAGTTGCACTACTTTGTATTTTTCAGGTTGAAAGTCATAATACTGATCAGTGCCCAGTCGTTTAGAATTTTACGTCTTCCTGAAGCCTATTGGAGTCCTTCGAGAACTTCATTGACTTTCAAATCTTTGTGTCATCACCGAGCAGTTTGGACATCATGGCAGGTCGCTGGAATGAATCGAAAACACAAGTGGCTCTAGGGTAAGATCTTGCGATAATTCCGATGCCACACTGTGCCACAATGATCGGACACGGCTGGCCCTGATGCGGAATTCCTCCATCATCTCGGTAGTTCTCCAACCACTGAAGGAGCGGGCTATCATTACCCACCTGACTTATTTTTTTGAAGGATAAAGTCATGCTGAACTGTGTCAAATTCCCTCGTGGATCCAAGTGAGGTCACATAAGCTGGAGCATTCATATCTTTTGGTGGTGTCCAATCAATTCCAAAGTGGCAACATGCTTGACACACAGGACCTTCTTCTCCCGAAACCATTTTGTTCTTTAGGCAGTCTATCAGTCTTTTAAAGGTTTTCCTGATGTGATCATCACTCAGACCTTCCAGTAATTTTGATAATGCTGTGAGTAGCCGGATTGGTCTGTAACCTATGGTACCTTGCTATTCTCCACCTTGAAAGGTAAGAGAAAGGATGACTTTCCCAATCCTTTGGCTGTTTCTCTGAGTCCATGGAGTTTTGCAGCGGGACACGTTAGAGCCTAGTGACATCTTTAATACAGTGTTTCTGAAAAGACGGTCGATTTTCGTCTCAACCAGAGGACATCTAAGGTTGGGTTTCTCTGGAGTGTATTCATTGTGTTTGCTCTTTGTAAGTTAGCAGTGCAGTCCTTGTAGGCTATATCAGTGTTACCCACAGTGCCATTTAGCTGTCTGTCAAATGCTGAACTAAATTTTCAACCATTTCCAAACTAGCAAGGTACTGACCATTTGAACCCCCTAAGACACACGCCTCACGGATTGGTAGACTTACTTTTCGACGTGAACTAATGCAGGTCTTTGGATTTTGCGAAGAGTTTTCTAATAAGGTTCACCTGAAATAACCTGTTACTCCCGACCCTTGCGTTACATCGGATCTTGACTTCCAGGTTTTCCCAATTGGTCACTGAGACTGTTGAGGGGGGTTGGCATGAAAAACATGCTTGCCACTTTGCTTGGAGAACATGCTGTGGACTTCCCTTTGGCCATTAGGATCGCTTTTAAAAGTGTAGTAGGATTATAGGGACGGCATCTGAAACAGCTATGTGGGTGATCCCCTTTGCCACTTCCCAATGTTCTTCTACCAATCAGTTACATTGTTTGCCGGAATGAATTTCTACGTCCAAGCTTGGTTATAAAGCGTTTGAGTTGTACACTGGTACTTCACTTTGGTATATATGTGTTTCGCGATTCCCAACCCCAACTGGCTTACCGTATGTATATGGCTTTATTTTGTACGTCAATTCTGACAGGTAATGGCTTTCCGAATGCCTTTGAGCAAAGCAACGACATCACATAGAACAGGATGATTGGTCCTTTCAAATTTGTTGAGAGAAATTCATGCGCGAATTTTTCATATCCATTTATTTTAGGTCTTACAGAATAGTAGTGCATTTGTTTTTTAGATGAAGTCTTGCTATTTGTTTAGGCATGCTGTAGTTCATGACAGAACTAACTTTCAGCTTCCGACGCGAATATTCAAGTCACTTACTCTTTCGATTTGTGATTCTTGGGCTCTTTTCCTCTTTCATCGAATTTTCCGTCACCCTTTCAGTAGGTAGTTGATATTTATATATGTCTGAGAAAAAATCAACTGAATTTTCAGCCTCATGTCAAGTCTCTTGGTGAGCAAGTAGGGTGAAGATGAATCCATCGATTGAAAATTTTATAATCCACAAGGGGTTGAAAACCGTTGCACATACTGAACCATTTTACTATTATTCACTGCCGGTGCTCTAGCTGGAATAGAAGTCTTTAAAAGCATGTTTTCAGTGCACTGTGTTCACTGCGATCCCTTCACCCTGTTTACATGACTACCGACGAATTTTCATTTTATTTTCGCAACATCACGATGTCACCGTCTGATACCTCAAATTTTTCTCGCCTTTCGGGTTTCACTCCAGGACCTGGCTTGTGTATTCAATTGAAGGTCTTTTTGTGTATTCTCAATCCATCTTCGTTTCCCGGATGGTTCTATGTTTTTCGAAGTTCCTAGCAATTTTTTTCCTTTCCAGACGGCCATATGATATCCGGCGTGGAGAGCGACAATGCAACTGTAGGCAGAGGACTGCAGTAGACGTATGAAGAAGTCTATAGTGAATTGAGTGCTAACCCTTTGAAACAGAACCTGAAGGTGGTGTTCGAAACTATGATCTTCGAGTACGATATGTGTTAATGTAGTCGAAGAATGAACGATCAATTCATGGTTGTTTGCTCAAACCAAACTTCCCCAATTTTCGCGGAGGCATCAACACAACAGTCATCGTCTCATCGGTCGCTGTTCAGAAAGAAGTCAGCAGCAAACCGCCAGAAGTAATATTGTGATTCATTATTGTAAAATTTGTTCACAGACCTTACATGTAACAGTGTTTATATGTTGGTGTTACAATAAAGAATCCTCGAGTCGCCGATTGATGTTTTGGTTTTTTCGTCCGTTGGTACTAAGCGTTTCTGAGAAACTTCAAGGAACAGCGTGAGCCCGAGTGCAGCAAGAGCTGGGCATTGACGGTTTACGAGACGTGGCTGACAGTTTCTGACGGTACAACGTCAGTTTTTAAACGGTTTTATGCAGTTGGCACGACTTTGGATACTCACCGCTCATCTTTCCTGGTGCCGGTCAAGTCCTCTTTGAACAAGCAATATCTGGAACGTTTTTGGAATTGGGTCAAGTTCAACAATGCCTGGGTCAAAGAAGAGACAGAGAGTCTTGGATGCAAACAGGAAAGTAAGTCATGGTGACTTGTCTGTTAATTGTAACGATGTGTCTGATGTTAACCATGACATGGTTGATGTTACTGTTTCGCCGTTCAGAGATAATAGGAACATCAAACTCCCTAAATTTGAACCAAGGTGTTTCGACGGAAACCCAGCTGATTATTTACAGTTTGTAAGGGAATTTGAAATCATGTTAAGTGGTTTTTTATTAAATGATGTAATAAACTTAATGTATTTGATGAGGTATTGGAGTGGAGTTGCAGCACTGGAGTTGCTGCAAGAGCTATACAGTGCTGTAAGTTTATGAAGCCAAAAGAGGGTGTCAATCACGTCACATAAACCGTTAATGCCCAGCTCTCGCTACGCTCGGGCCCACGCTGCTCTTCGAAGATTTCTCAGAAACGCTTAGTTATAACGGACGAAAAAACCAAAACACCGATCTGCCGCTTGAGATTTGTTTATTGTTACACCAACATATAAAAGGAATAAGCGAACTAAGGTCTGAAAACAAATATTACAATAATAAATCATTGTATTACTTCTGACGATGTTTCACTCTTCTTTCTGAACAGCGACCGATGAGACGATGACTGTCATATTGATGCCTCCGCGAAAATTGGGGAAGTTGATTTTAAGCAAACAACCAAGAATTGATCGTTCAATCTTCAACTACATTGACACTCCCCGGCGAAAAAGGGATCCAACCCTTTTTTCCATCACGACCAATACACGTTGACTTGGATGCCATTGCGAGAACCTGGGTCAC